CTCTGTCTGACATCTCATCTCAAACAAGTGTGCTATATTTAAATAACATGAGTCTGCGCATGGGCTTACTGCAGATTCAACTCGAAAATAAGGGCACAAAGATGTACCTCTTCCAAACATGAAAAAACACATGGCATGATTCAATGATGGACCTACCCACTAAATGCAACTCAAAAAATCCATGAGTGTGCCAAGCCGTGCTAGTGCATACAAAGATGTAGCCTAAAATTGGAAAAGTGGGGGTTCTCTGGATTTGGGGCTTTCAGGAAAGCAATTGCTTCTCAGAGAAGGTGCTGACTAAGGGAAAGAGAGAGGGTACTCCATGTGAAGAAACTTTGAGCAGAGGGACTAGAGAGCAGACTCTGCCAAGCTGCTAAAAACTAGAGCTTGTTAGAGTTGGTTTCAGTGACAAGCCATCTACTAACAGTATTATCTAAATGGCCAAGGACAGGGCACTTTAAAGGGTGCTTTTCCCATAGGAACCTATGGGCTCATGTATCATGTATCATCTCAATAGACGTGCTTTGGAGTTCTCCAGATGTCTGATGTACAACGAGCAGGTTAAATGAGAGAAGGCCATTTCAGTGGTGACACCAGGCCACATCATTAAGAGAGGTCCATGCGGTAAGTTCTGCTAGTGTGGAGAGAATTTAAGACAGGTGGTTGTCACCTTATTTTGTTATTTTATTACTGTTTATTTTGTTTATTTTGTTTATTTTATTACTTATGCTGTGATTGTATCATATTACTTTTAGCCATTTTGCTCTCTTGTATTGTTGAGTCACTTTGTAGATGCTTTTGGGTAAAAAGGCCACACTCACACGCTCTCTCATAGGAATACTTATCTATGTTTTGCATTCAATTATATATAAATGTGTAGAACCTAGAAATTACTAAGTTTGGCATAATATCTCAACAAGTGTCCGGAGTACTTCTGAAGTTGTGTTGTTTTGGGATATACTGTGCTACAATATAAATTGTAGTTCTCAGCAGTAAAATCCAGATGTCAAAGCAAAAGCTTTTTCGCTCTTTGTGACCTGAACAAGGCCTTACAGAAAAGGCTGAAGTGCCTGAAAAGATACCAAGCAAGTCTGATGGTGGACAGTTCAGAGGTTTTTCTGCTGTTTGATGGTGTCTATGCTGCAACTTTTGTGCTGTACCCATAACCCGATCCATGAAAGGTGCTCTTCTCCCAGAATGCTTCTGCATTGAAGTGCATAGTCCTGCAATCATCTCTGGCAATGGACAGTAACAATGCGAGTTTAGGAAAGAATGTGATCCACAGCACTGTCAACATGCCGTCCGGCTAGTCAATTCAAGGCAGTAACATTTTCCTGCCAACTCAGCACATTCCCAATGCCCTGGTTCACATAACAAGCTATGCCCAAGAGCTGTTTTAGGGTAACCTGTAATATCTGAGCCCAGAGTGCATAATTTTCTTCATTGTGCATTGTTTCCCACAGATATGCCACCCTGAGAACCCATGGCTTGTTCAGGGTGGCTTTTGTGACATCTGAACTGGCACAGCAATTTCTGCGTGGGTTACTGGGAATGGCCAGAATTGCCAGCAAGAGCACTGAAAACCAGTGACTGCCCTCACAATCACAGTAGTGCCACCATCCTCCTCCATCCCTTATCAATGTCCTCTGCCCCATGAACCTAAAAATTGAGGATACCAGATAGTGCTCTGCATGTACTCAGCTTTTCTTCCTCCCAATCTTGCACAAGTCTGAAAATCCACCCCTATGAAGTATTTTCCCATCCACTTTACTGCTTTGCTATGACATGCATGCATCTTTACTTCTTTGCTTTAAAATTTGAGTCTATTTGCCAGTGTTACTCACTGCCTGCTCCGTCTTGAAATACAACTTGTTGCTGTTGCTATATTTTATATCCCACTGATCCCCGGTGATTGGGACTCTTTACCAAGCCTTACCTCCTGCTCCGGTCCAAGGTGAGCCAGTCCCCTTGTGAGTCTGCAACCCCAGTGGACCAGCTGAAGAAAGGGTGCTGATGTCAGGAACAAGGCAAAGAGGATTTATGCTGCAAAGGTCCCTGGCATTTGTACCAGGAGCAGACAGAGAGATTAAGGGAAAACAACCCACCCAGTACACTGTAGAGACTATTGTTTGTTACCAAGCAAGCTATCAACCCATATTGGCTTATCTTCAGGGTGGCTTAGCACAATGGGCAAGTTTCATACAACCTATTTCCTTCAGCAGGATGCAGTGAAAACAAGTTAACTAAAGCACAATTTGACTACCAAGTATGTGTATAGGCCCCTATTTTAGCAGGAACTGGCAGTATGATGTCATCATGATGAGCGAGCAAATCAGATAATTGAAAACAGAACATACCAACAGCCTTTGCCAGGCTGTGCCCTCCAGATGTTTTGGATTTTAACTCACATCAACCCCAGGAATTCTAGGAACCGCCAAAACATCTGGAGGGCACCAGGTGGTTGATCTGCAGCAATGGCTACACATATCAAACAGCAGGAATGTTTGCTTGTTTTTGCATTGCATTGCTACATTGCTCAACAGCCAAAGCTGTCTGGGCAGTTCTCAACCTTTAAAACCACAAATACAAGGCATGTGCTGTTTTGAGTGAAGGATTTTATGAAGCACATGTTTGGGACCGATATCTTCCATCACCAGTGGTAGGACTTGGGAATGATAGACACAGCATGATCTATGGGACAGGGGCAGAAGGGCAAGATGATGTCATTAGAAAGGGAGTGGGAAACTCTTCCCATTTGTATAATGGAAATGGAATCCAGAAGGATTAAAATGGGCAGCTACTCCAAATCAAGGGGCACCCTAGTTTGTAGGCATGGTATTCCTCCTTATGATCCTTCAAATCTGAATTTTTGAGTGGAGATCCTCTATTGCTGCTCTTAAATGATGCATGTGCATGGAAGGAAGCTGTCAGCCAGAACACAAGTGCTATTTTTGTAATCTGATCACAGTTGGATAACAAGCAGGGACGCAGCCAGAGCAGCACCTGACCCTTTGGCTATAATAAATCACATCATGCACTAAGCAGCAACACAGACAGCTCTTACCAATGTTCTTACGGTATTAAGTCCTTTGCCCTAATTGGAAGATTAGATGCACACCAACTACTGGGATAGGACATTAATTATGCTGAAGGGCCATAAAATCAGCTTGGCACATCAAAGTGAGTTCAAATTTGAGATACATTTTCATCACGGAGTTCAAGGTTGCAAACAACACCTGCGAATCATACAGAAAATGTAGGAAATCATAATCCTTTGATTGGACTAGTTTATTAGGCTGTATTAGCAATGGCTACACGAACCAATATTCAACCAGGGCTTAAAGGAACAAGAGGATATTTTGAGGCAGACCTGCTTACTGGCTTCTGTAAGCCAAAAGAAGTCAAAGCTTTCTTTGGAGCTTTCTTTGGGTTGCTTTGCACATTTGTCTTTAAAGCACAGAATAGATGCAGCCTTGATGATGCTCTAATCACCCTTCCCCAACCTGATGCTCTCTAGGTATCTTGACCTCAACTCCCATCAACCCTAGCCAGCATGGCCCATGATCCGAAATGCTGGGGATGTTATCCAAAGCCTCTGGGGAGTACCAGGTTGGATACAACTGCTCTAGAGAATTCTTAGGGTGAACTAGCTTACATAAGTCTTTTTTGTCAGATAATAAGCAAGACATTTAGTGTTACTAAAGAGCAGCAAATATGAGTTGAACTTTAGATAACCTTTCTCCTAATACTGTACTTAACTATCCTGAGTGATGGTTTGTATACCTGCAAATAAAATGTTGCATTTTTTAGACCACATATAAAACATTTAGGATGCAATGTTGTGTATGCTCCAGTTTTAGAGGATTTTTTCTGTCGCAATAGGATTGCATCCTTAACCTTTCAAACAACAGTCATCAATTCATGTTAAAGCTCAGGGTAGGATTTAACCCAAAGACAAGTCAATATAAAATAGAATGTCTGTATCGTGGGTCCTAAAACTAAGGCCCATGGGCTGGATCCGGCCCGCCATGCCCTTTTAATCGGCCCGCCCCACAGGCTTTGCACTTGCTGGGTGCACATGTGGCTTGCTCGCGAGGAGGTCATTTTGGACTTGCTTGGAGAAAACGATCTCCTCGGGAGCAAGCCGGCACCTTGCCTTGCGTGCAGGCACACCCCCACCAGCACCGCTTTGGCGGCCCACAGCCTCCACTGGCACCTGTCAACTGGCCCCCCGTTCAAAAAGTTTGAGGACCCCTGGTCTATACAGTTAAACTCTTCATGCTGATGCATACTGTAAGTAAGCCAATTGATTAAAAACTGCACGTTTTACACACAAAATAAAAATGCAAAATATCTGTGATAAACACACAGCACAGTACAAATAAACCACTGCCAGAGGACATAGTCTGATCAGGAAAAAAGTTTCTAAACTGTCATTACAGTTATATTTATACTGCTCAGAGGTGCTCAGTGATGTTGATAAGACCCTCTGACTTACCCATGGCTTGACAGAAGAGAAGGAAGGTGCTATGGGGATTAACATGCTGGATCTGGTCACTTAGGAAAGGTGGCATCAACATGACTGTGGCAAAATCTGTGCTAGACCAAACATCAGGCTGGGGACTGGTGGGTGAAGGAGGTGAGTCACTTCCCACACAGGACAAAGAGGAGGTACCAGTAGGAGGAAAAGCTATAGCAGATGAAGCTGTGTTGGAAGAGGACAGGAAAGAAAAGAAGAAGAAGAAAAGATGGCACTAAGGAAAAGAGTTGCAAGAAAATGCTTCACATGCCAAAACAAGAATGTGCAAAGGATGGGGAGGGGAACAATAACGAACATTAATAAAAGAAAAGCAATGCTAATTCCCTCTTATTCCCATTCTATGACTGTGTAAAATGGAAAATCAAGGCTGCTTGGGTTTCACTGTGAAAAAACCATCAGGCTGATCCCAAGGTTTATTCTTTCATGCCAAGTTATTATTGCTTAATGACCAAGGATTGAATACAATTAATTTCAATATTTATTTAAACATTTTCCATATATACATAATTAAAAATAGAAAAATAAAAGCAACTGAATCATACAAAATATAGAACTGTTTATGCTAAGACCATCTAAGGTGGAATGGAGAAGATTTCACCAGTAATGAAATAAAAGGAGTCTTGGGAGAACTCCCCTACTCAACAATGAGAATGTTCTCTATTTCTAACTTCTTTATTACTTACACAGAGCATGGGAGAGACACAAAGACAGCGAGCTACTAGGATTAAAAACTGTACAGCACAAAGGAACTTTACAGACAAAGAGTGCCACTGTGAACCACACTTTATATATCTTAGTCCCAAGAGAAGAAGGTGATGGAACTTTTGGGTGATTCCTATTCATCTGTTTCCTTTTTCCAGGCTTTTTTTTTAAAAGTTGCTTGATGTTGTGAATCATGTGAAAATATTTGGCAAAGTTGTGGGGGGGGGGGGGGGGGGGGGGGTGAGGTGGGGGACAGGATCTGATTTCTTTCCAGTGGTGTAGAAAGCTGAAATATGAACACATCCTCAACAGTCTCTTTTGGGAGGTCCATCAAATGCTTGCCAAGTTCTCCAGTGAATCCACAAGACACAAGCCTGAAACACTGATGTGATTCATTGACTACTGTTTGCCCACAATAATCTGCTTAAAACATCTTAAAATGAACCCATAAAATCCAGTTAATGTGGCAGTGTCCAACTTCTTTTTAAAAATATCTCTTCTCTAAATCTATATGCCCCACAACCCCAAAAATGAACATTTAAGCACTCAAAAGGATTACCATATTGATGCCTCTAAAAACGAAAAGGAAAATAAATGCATTAAACCAAAGCTTATCCCTGAGAACCTTATGCAAATCTAACTAGATTTGTCCCAAGAAACATCGTATTCTATAAAGGTACACAAATGGTTTTGGAAAAATCCAACATTTCTTTCACCAGCTAAAACTACCAGGCATGATACAACTAATGCATTACACTAAGCATTAAAAATTACTAGATGCAAAGAAATGTCCCAATCTGGACAAAAAGACTATAATTTACCAATCTGATAAACTAAACATCATTTCCAATTTGGAATTAAACTGAAATTAGAAATTTAATGGCAGTTAAATAGGTGCAGGCTGGAGCTACTTCAATCCATTTTTTGGCATGGCTCTGCAACAGGAATTAATTTTACCTTCTACAGAAAAGAGGAATTAATTAAAGTAGTCAGTATGTGCAAGTGTTAAATCATCCTTGGGAAAAAAGAGCTTAGAAATTCACAATGTGATACCTCAACTGGCCATTCAAAAATAAAACAAACGCACACAAACTAAACACGTAACAGAATGGTTTTCTGAAAGAAATGCAAGATTGTTCTCTGCTCTACTCAGGAGTGAAATGACAATGTGTCACTGGTAAAATTGAGAACACATAGCCCTTTCTGGCCCAGTTATCACAACTAAAATGTGTGTGCCCAAAAAGAAACAACTCAGAATGACAGTAATTTCGTTATGGAAGTTGGGGGCTTTCCCCTTTAATCACCCTCAGCATCTGAGTCAGCAAATTTCAGTTCACATTTTACATCAAAAGGTTTGTCCTTGACTTCTTTGTGAGACTGTGCATGATCCTCCTCATGTTGAACGTGGCCGTTTCCATAGTCCGCTTCAGTCTCATATCCTGTGTCATGTGCCGGCTTTGGATGGTCTCCACTTTGGCTCAGGAGACTGCCTGGCTCCACTAGTGTCTCTTTCACACTTTGCTCACAATCAGAAAAATCTGCCTTGGGCTTCTTCTTCCCAAGCAACATAGCAGAGCGGAACTTTAGACACTGGTCTGGCAAATATCCTTTGTAACAGTTGTAGCCAAGCAGACACAGAAAGAGCACAAAAAAGAACAGAAACAGAAACATCAAAAGACAATTATCATTTGACTTTAGAAACATGGTCTTTTCAGGGACCTCGAGAAGCGACTTTGAGTGTTCAATGTCAGAGACAGTGCTCATTAGTATGGGGACAACGGGGTTTGTTATTACTCTGGATGTTATGACAGATACAACTGGAGTGGTTGAAATGTCAGCAGCTGACCCCTGGGAAGCTACTCTTGATGCTTTGGGCAACTCTCCATTACCTTCTGTCTGTGTGGCTGGCTGGGTTGGGCTCAGAGTGGTGTGTGGGATCTTTTTCAGTTCCAAAACATGTTTAGCTAACACCTGTGAGAACTTCTGATTCTTCACTTTTTCTTCTGACAGGCATTGATAAACACCACTGTCCCCTTCAGACAAATTGAAGATGAGTAGCGCTTTCTCCAGAAGACGGTACTTGGGGCTTTCCACCTTGAGCACATCATCCTTGAATTTCCAAACCACTTGCGCCAGGTTGGACTTCTGAGAACATTTCAGCTCTGCTGTGCTCCCATGCTTGAAAATGTGCTGCAGGGAATGTTCTCTTACTTTATCTGGAAGAGCAAAATAAATGTGAACAAGCTCTTTGAACAACTAATGTGAAAAGTTCTTTGTGAGGGATGGGGGAGGCCCATTCAGCCCAGTTCACTAAGCATTAAAAATTACTGAAGGCTGAACTGGAGAGCATCTCTTAAAGGCAAGTTCCTCAAATCTGGTACAGCTGTAGCTTTATGTCAACTAAATTAGAGTATCCCAGCTGAACCCATACCAGAGGAATTCTGAAACTATCCAGGAATCCAAGCACAGGATGGTTCACACAAGCCCCCTGGGTGCCTATGGAGCTATCCCTGGGCACTGCTCACTCAGGAGCTCTTTAACACAGCCTCCACAACTGGCGCAATTTGGCAGCTCTTTGTTCAGCTGAGGGGGCTGTGCAAATCATTGCAGCTTCGTACACAGCCATCTTGTGGAGGCATCTTACACGTATGTGCTGTCTGGTTGTGCATCCAGCTGTGCCCCCAATGTACTCTGAAGGAGCCTGTGTACAGGCAGCTGTAGAATGCACACTGACCCAGTGTTCAAAAAGAAGGAAAAAAGCAAACCAAAAATTAAAATAATTTTTCTATTCCAACAAGTTACTCGCCAAATGAAAACACAGAGACTGTGTAAAATAGTTCACCTGAACACAGATGTCTAAAACATTTATGCTGTATTGCTTTTCAACCCCTTTAATGAAAAAGCTTACCAGTACAAAGTGAAGCATCTCCTCCTATATTCTGAATCCAGTCTCTACAAATAGAAAACATACAATAGTAAATACAAACAGTAAAGGTAAATATGGTAAGGGATTCAATATGCTTGCCATATTCCATCCATCCTGTTCTCCATGTACAAATCTCTCCCCACTCCCAGATACAGTCTTGTTTCTCCTTTCCCACAGATTATGCAAATTATGTAATATCCAAACAAGTGAGGCAGCAGGAGAGAAAAGGGAGATGCAAAGATACAGTGGCACTTATGTTTTTGTTTTCCTTAGCAGCAGCATTCTGCAACATGACAAATGGAATGCTTATTTGAACCAACAAACCTCCAAGGCCGTAATACAGCTCTTAAAACAGCTTCGGAAAATTACTGTTTAGCAAATACAATCAAAAGTGTACTCAGCAAATGTTTGTCAAGTAGCACAATGGTTTGAAGCCAATTCATACTGAAGTCAGTGAAAAAGTAGTTCAAATCTGTTTCTCTTGCTAGAAAACTGTAGGCCAAATAACATTATATATAGATGTTTACAGAATGTTCACATATATACATTTCTTCTATCTTCTAATCCCTTTTGTCCTACATTCCAGTAGAGAAGTGGTTGTTTTCTTTTTGAGGTTACCTACATTATACATGCTGAAAATGAAGTAATGAAAACAAGCCACAAATTCATGTAACTCACAGCAGCCATGAATCTGGCATAAAGGAGGAAATAAACTCTGAAGCAGCCCTGATGCCGATTCCTGCCTGCTTTGCTAAACAATGTATGCCTCAGTTGTCTGCTGACGTTGGAGCCTGGAGTGCTGGACTACTAAGAAGGAAACAACCCGGTGTTTTAACCCAACAACAAACCATGGGTTTATGTTCACAAGCAATCCATGGTTTACTAATCATGAGCTGTATGATCATGTGAACCAGATCTACAGGTCTTCTCTTATTTATCTATAGGTCTCTCTCTTTCCTGATATTTTACTTGTTAAAAAGATTTTAATGGTTTTTATCTTTTATATCTATTCGTTATCTGTTGTAGTGCCTTTCATGTTGGTTTGGAATAATCTATGACTCTGTGAAGTTTTTACAAAGGCATGCTTTTGCTTGTGGATTGTTAGATATTATTGGCATTTTTAGTTGTATTTTCATTGTATATTTAAAACTCTGTAACCCATCCAGGGAGCCTTATGACCAAGGGGGCAGGATAAAAATCCAACAAACAAACATAATGTTTCTATACTGCTCCATAGCTAAAGTGCCCAGTATTTATTTGTTCTGCAGTTTGCTGCCCAGAGCACTTTGGGAAGCTGACAGGTTACGAATTATGAATTAAATACAGAAAAACAACTTAAACATATGTTACAGTAATTATGAAGATAGTATTTCTTGTCACACTAGTCTGCATTGCAAAGACAGAACTTCTATAAATATAGCACTGGTTTTGCAAGAACAAGTCAGATTAGTGTGGTCTGAAGATAAAGAGATGGACGTGCATCTGGCAGGTGTGTTCCAATTTGGGCAACTTATTTCTCTTATATACAATAAGATGTTTATGTAATATGTTAGGCCAGTACACAATGGCTGCCTTTACACGTTTCAATAAATCATGATTTATTTTATAGAATCTTACAATAGTAGAGTTGGGAGGGGCCAGGCGGCCACTGGGTTCAACCACCTACTCAATGCAGGACTCCAAGTTAAACTATCCATCTTGAACAGATAAAGCCTTACGTTCCCGCCTCTTTCACTTGCATGCACACTATTTCTATTCTGGCATGGTCATGAAGAGTTAGAAAGCTTTCACTTCAGTTTTGATTGACTGCAGTTTGCTAAGCAGTTCAAATACAACACATTGTGTTTAATCTTAACTTGTGTTGATGAAACAAGTCAACTCCACACTGTTCTTATGAAGCTGGCTTGTTTCCACAAAGCACAATTAAGTTTATACACAGTTTAGGGTGTAACATGATTAGTCAAAAGCAGAAGTGAATGTTTTCAATCTCCTTTTAACTCTACTGGAAAAAGGAGAGGGCAGCATATAACCCCAGGGGAGACTACGCTTCCTCCTGTCCAAATAAGACAGTATATATAATTACCACCAGTGATTACTATGTTGGTTTCAAAACAATTTAAGATTCTAAAAAGTAGCCTTTGCTTTTGGTTGTGTATACTCAGAGCTTCAATAACGAAACACCCAAGAAATTCTATGCCAAGAAAAACTAAATTCTCTAACTTGCATAAACTATATAAAGAGTATTTGCATGGAACCTGAATTTGCATTCTTCATGCTGCTTGTACCAATCAGGCAATGGCTGCAATTTTATACCCTCTGTCTGGGAATGAACCCCACTGAACTCAAGGACATTTCTGGATAAACATCCATAGGATTATGCTGTAAGGGGCAAAGGGCTATGCCCTCTATGATTCATTGGGAAGATTCAAGGAGTTTTTTTCTTTCCCCAATCACGTCATTTGAGACCTCACCAGACTAGGATTTTCTCTTGGTAGCCTTTAGAACAAAAGTTATGCTTCCGCATTTTGTGCCCAATACATTTATGTGTGCTCTTGGAATTGCCATCTACATACAACTCTATCTTTATTAGCTGATCTACATAAATATATGCACTTTAACTACTTGCAGTACACAAAATAGATACATCTCTTACCTTTCATTCTCAGTCTCCTGCAAATTGACACAGGATGACTGATGAGGATTCCAAGCACAGTATGGATCTCTTGCCAGGACACAGTCTACACAGGTGCTGTACTTGTCACAAAATGCAACGGAAGACTGAACCACTCCAGTATTGGACCCTGCATAAAGGTACTGCTTGCCCTGTAGAAATCACAGCAGAGAAAGAAGAGGGGTTGCAAATAAAGGCGTGTCATGTTTTTTCACACATCATGTATGTCAGGTGTCCATAGCCTACCCATTACAAGGAAACCATCGTAAATGACCACACCAATGGGAGGAATGAAGAAGACAGAAGATTAGTTATAAGACAAAGTGAGGGTCTGCATGACACAAAAGCCATGCTGTGAAATTTTCTAGAAGCCACCCTACCCTATGGACACCTGGGGTAGGGTGTATCCCATAACCTCCCATGGGTATCCCAGGGGACACAATGGGATCACCAAGGTTTCCTCCAACCCCATCACCCAGTGCTTGACAGAAATGACAGGAAGTGGGAAACAGAAAATGTCCATCACGTCAGCCCTGTGGCAGACAGTCTACCTCAGGAGTCAAATCCATCCTCAATGCGGTCCTCAAGCCATGCAAGGGCCAACTGCTCCTGTAGCAGAGCAGTCCTCTCTTCCATGCTCAAGTGATGACACCATCCCTCAGTCTGCCTTGAGGTAAGCTTATTAGTCATCCATATGTGTGATGCACAGAGACCACAGTCAGGTTGCTTACCTCTAACTGGCATTCTTTGTGTGGTCATCTGTGCATTCATACAACCCACCCATTGGCCCAGTTTGGTGTTGTCCCTTTGATAATTGCTCCCTTGCTTGCCAAGAGCACATGGGCTGGACTGGGTCAGCACACGCAGTCCTGGGACCTATGGCAGTCTCAGTGGAACCTCAGAAATGGGCGGAAGCCCCTCCTGCATAATCCTGGAACAGGAAGGGAAGGCACATCCCACCCAATCAAACATTTAGCCATGGAAACTTCCAGACAACAGACTTCATGAGGGCACAAAGCCCACATCTGTGAATGCACAGATGACCAATCAAAGAGCAACAGTTACAGGTACTTGACTTTTTCTCCAAACACCTGGATGGTTATGTCAGGAAGGCTTAAAGAGAAGCCGTGGCCTGGTTTAGGCTTTGTTTACCCAACATTAGTTTGGGTTTGCCATTGTGGACAACATGACTTAGCTACAAAAGCATCCCAGTAACAGGCTTCATGCAGGCACAGAGCCTGTATGTGTGATGCACACAGACCACAAAGAAGAATGCTCTGCTACCATGACTTCAAAGCTACAGGGGCTTAGCGTGTTATGAGAAACGAAGCAGTGACTGGATTCACATGACACAGAAGCTCACTGTGGGTTGTCCTTTTGTGTAAACACTGGAAACTACTTTCACTCTTGTGTGTAGGGATTGGCCAGCAAGCTGGCAAGTGCCATTCCTTCTGATCTCACCCTTGCTACCACCAGTGACGGCCCCTCCATCAAGGCTCATGTAGCATTTTGGAAGAACTGTCACTGGTTTTTAAAAACTGGTCCCAGAAAAATGTGTACATTTCTGCCTAATTTTGTTGCTATTACTTTTTTGTTTTTTGCAAATGCACAGTGTGCTCTTATGACTGTCTGATTTCCTTGGATGTTTCAGCTGTCAAAATGGACAGCTGAGTAGAGTAGAGGTAACATACATGGCAACTGATAAGGAGAGACTAATTTTTGAGAGGTTGCCAGACACCAACTATCAGGTTGTCAATTGAAAAGCAACGAGGTAAAGGAAAGAAAAGCTGTAAAAGGCTGCATCGAAAGGGAAAGGGACAGTATCTTTCATGTGGAAATATCTCAGTTTTTAAATGCTGAACAGCACTTTTCGGTATCCTCTACAATTTCAACACTTCCCTGAGATTCCAGCTAGTCCAGAAAGGGGAGATAATTGCTGCTTCTCCCTTTCATGGCTCCTTTTTAGACTACTGACTGCTATGATTAGTGTGGTTTCGTAACACATCTAAAAAGAAACCCCGAGAAGGCAGCTGAATGAGATGCAGTGAAGCCCCATGGGGTGAGGAGGTATAAGGACATTCCATTTGCACCATCTATGTTTTACTCAGAAATACTTGTAGTTTTTGGACAGAGAAACATATGCAAAATTAAAGGCAGTATATGGAAGGGAGATTTCTGCACCTGCAATAATATGAACCTAGTGATGTGGTTCAAGCAACACGCTCCCTTGAACTATGTTGTGGATAATGTAAGCCATGATGAGCCGCAGCATCTGCCAGTGCCACAGTGCATACCCAGCCCCACTTGGGGGTTGCTATGTTATGCAGTGTGGCTTATCACTCACGGAACCCTCCATGAATGATATCAGGAGGGTGAGTACCTGGAGGAGGGCTTTCTCTGTGGTGGCACCCCAGCTATGGAATGCGCTCCCCAGAGAGGTCCGCCTGGCGCCGTCGCTATTTGTTTTTCGGCGCCAGGCTAAGACCTTTTTATTTAAAACTTATTTTAAGTGTTAATTTATTATGTATTTATAGGATTTTAAAAAATTTTTAGCTGAGATGTTACCAGGCTTTTTAATCTTTATTGTATTTAATGTTATTTATATGTTCTTAATTATGTTGGGAGCCGCCCCGAGGCTTTGTTGCGATGGGGGCAGCATAGAAATGTTTTAAATGAATAAAATAAATAAATAAATAAATAAATAAATAAATGTGAAGGTTAAATGACCCATGGCCTACTTTTAGAGTTGTATTCAAGAGTTGTGTAAGGTTTGCATAAGCCACAATCACTGGGTTCACACAAGATGACAACCTTGGAGTGAGAGCTGCAGAATGGTGATTGCATGTGTCCTGCACATGTCACAACATCACCATGAGTTATATAACCAATGGTGGGCTGTGGTGTCATTGGAACTGGCCCAGTACCTGTTCTACAATATAATTTTCTATAGACTAGCCCCTAAGATGACTTCATGGTGCTGAAATACTGCAAAATGTGCTACAATTTGGTCTAGCTGCCAGCGTGCCACGAATCTCTTCATCCAAGGAAGTACCTGATTTTATCTGAATTTGTTGACTTCTTATATGAAAGCAACTCTTTTCAAAAAGAAATCACATTTATCTGAATGCTGGATCATCCCAATGTTTGGCCATTTGGTAAAATGAAGAGGGACAGAGATGAAATATGCCACTCCTTTCCCCCACAAGTATGAAGACATGGAAGGTACAGCACAGTGACCTTAATGTGGCATTTATACTATTACACCTCCAGACAATGTCAGCTGCAATGCTGGAACAGAGTGCGTTTGAGGCCATGGTTTAGTGGAGAGCCTAGCTCTAACTCTTGTTCCATCTGGAAAGGCCAGGCCTGAAATTTTGCCATAGTTTTCTCTGGATTTGTTCTGTTCTATCTACAAGAGCAGATCTGAAATTCCGTCTCATCTAGATTTTAACTAGATATCATCCAAACATCAGGAACTTGAATATCATCTTCTTGACATGAAAAACCTGCCACTTTGCTCTATCTATCTATCTATCTATCTATCTATCTATCTATCTATCTGCCTATCTATTTAGAAGGCTTCTATGCTGCCCCATTCGCCGAAGCCTTGGGGGCGGCTCACAATAATAAATAAATAAGCACAGTATAAAACAATATAATTGAGTAGACCTGGCCCGAAAAATAAAATAAATAATATTAACAATTAAAATAATATTTGAATAAAAAGGTCCTCGCCTGGCACCAAAAAACAAATAATGATGGCGCCAGGCGGACCTCTCTGGGGAGCGCATTCCATAGATTGGGCGCCACCGCAGAGAAAGCCCTCCTCCGAGTACTTACCCTCCTAATATCCTTTACGGAGGGTTCCTGGAGAAGGGCCTCTCCCACTATCTCAAGGGGCGGGCAGGCATATATGGACTTAAGTGCGCCTTCAGGTAACCAGGACCCAAGCCGTTAAGGGCTTTATAGGTCATAACCAACACCTTGAATTGGGCCCGGACTTCAGTGGGGAGCCAGTGAAGCTGACGGAGAACTGGAGTCATGTGAACATAATGCCCAGTCCCCATCAGCAGCCTGGCAGCTCTATTTGAACCAACTGAAGTATCCGGACCGTCTTCAAGGGCAGCCCTACTTCTGCATTACAGAAGTCAAGTCGGGAAGTCACCACGCGTGTGTCACTGTCACCAGGCAGTCGTTCTCCAGGTAGGGACGCAGCTGATGGATCAGCCGAAGCTGAAAGAAAGCGCTCCTCACCACCGCTGTCACCTGAGCTTCCAGTGAAAGCTCTGGGTCAAGGAGCACTCCCAAGCTGCGGACTTTGTCCCTAAGAGGGAATGCAACCCCATTCAGGACTAAGTTCAGGTCCCCTTCCCCGAAGCCCGATCCGCCAACCAACAGGGCCTCCGTCTTGTCTGGATTGAGCTTCAGTTTATTGGCCCTCATCCAGCCCATTACCTCAGCCAGGCACTGGTTCAGTACAGCCACTGCCTCACCTGGATTGGTAGAGAACTACTTGTTGTTACTCCAACTAATCTGCAGGATGAATAAGCCTGTCAAAAGCTAATCAAAGTGGACTGCTAAGCAGATATAGTGGAACCACATTCTCTTTATTTATATTATTTCAAACTTCCCATCTCTGCTAATTATAAGGGTTCATGCCTAACAAATTGTGATTTACAGATTTTAAGATGGAGCAGCAGCATGCCACTTCTGGCTCTCTTTCGGAGCGAGTGCTGGGTGAAGAGCTAAGTAACGAATTGCAGCTAATTCTCCCTCAACCATTGACCCACTTCTCCTCAGTTTCTCCTCCTGCAGCATGCCATCCCCTCTTGGAAAATGACCTGTCATGCTCTAAGAATTATCTTGGTCTGTTAAGACTGTTCAAGCAACATGGCAGAACCTCAGGCCCAAAGACCAAATCCAGCCTTCCAAGGCTTTGGAGAAAGCCATGCCCCTTCTGCAGGCCCTGCCTTCTTTTTCAATTGTCTGGTGGTTTCTGGCTTTTGTGCCATTTTTTACTCATCCTCAAAGAGTTAAATGCCTCTCATAAGGCTGAATCACTGGCAGTAAGAGCTTTAAAGTGTGCTGGTATTTTTGGCCCTACCTCTTTGACTTTGCTCTTTTCCCCCTTTGCCTCAGGCTCCATCCCTACTTGAATGCTGTCCCTGAGGGCTCTCAAATCTAATACACCCTCAACACTCCGACTTTACACCATGAAGCCAGTCTTTCACTGCATTGCTTAGAGAGATGCAAATAAAGAAGCAACGGAGCAAGACCTGTAACATCCTTCAATCTATTAGGAAGCAAGGAAGTTTTTGCCTTATAGCAGAGAACAGACTATCTGGCCACCTAACCCAGCATCATGTGTCCCTGAATCTCCAAGTTCTTAGAGGGTGGGTGGTCTTCCCATCACCTGTTACCCGATCCTTTTAACCAGAATTGGCAAAGACTTAAACCTGGTACATTCTGCTCTGCTAGAAAAGCATGTACTTCACTCATTGAGCTATGGCCTCTCCACTAAATTCAGGAAATTCTAGTCTCCAAAATGTTGCACTGATACTCTTTCCCCTACTAACGTAAAATCAGCTCTAAATAAGCATGCTTGAAGCTTTCAAGCAAAACCACAACATTCCTCAGGCTCACAAGAGAAGACTGCACTTTGAGGTCTTTTGGTCGGTCCTGGTACTGATCCAAATCCACTCACCATCTGGTGAGGCATGTCAGTTTCACAGTGTGACAGGCAATAAAGTTCCCATCAGACATTACTGAAATCAGCAGCTGTTTCCCCTCTCCCCTTCCCCCCACGTTACATATCACAGAGTTTTGTTGTGGTATTATTCCCCCCATCCTGCTGTTCCACTCACTCAGTCCTACCTTTTTTGAAGAAAGCAACAGTGTCTGAATAGGTTCAAAATTCGGGAAGAGCTGAGTTTCTTCAATAATATGCATTCCATTTTCATAACTGATTGCTTTGTGAAGGGCGCCTTGATCTGAAACAAGAATCCACACTTCAGTTCACATATGAAAATACAGAGATCCTCAGGCGATGCTTGCTATCATCAGAGGCGACTTCCTTATCATAAGGTTTATCAAAAGCTTTCATCCACTAACTGATTCCTCTGCCAGAGCTGGATGTTGATACTTCAGCCACAGTACCTTTGGTATTAACACAGTTATACTACTTTCCAATAGGCCTGCAGCATGTAGCTCTCTGCCTAATCTCTGCAAGTGTTAGTTCAGACTTCTGGCAAGAGTATTCAGTCCCCTTCTTCTGGCAATCTGCTGGTCTCCTTGGTGGGGAGGGAACAGTGGGGAGAGAGAAAGAAGTGAAAAGGAGATGGCAGAAGGAGAAAGAAAGGGGCGCGAGTTGCCCTTTATTCATTCTTGACTCTGGACCTGCCCAGCAAATGCAAGCAGCCCCCGACAGGGAACATGGTCCTTGCCCAGGAAAAGTTCCTCATGCCAGCTTTTGGACCCACCTCAAATATAGGCAACATATACTGCATGATGTGGGAGTGTTCATCACGGCCTGGCAAAATGCTGTACATCATGATTGGGTGATGAAATTATTCCAAAAAATGTTAACTGCATGTTAATCACTTTGATTACCATGTTGGTTTGACTGAACTATAAATTTATATCCCACCTTTCTTTTAGGAGAGGTGAAACCATGGCTGACAACCAGTAATTAAACCACCATTCATAAATTAGAATACTGTAAGTAAAGCAAGTACAGGAGGACATGCACTGATGCCCCGCCCCCAACTCCTCTACAAGCAGCAGCAACGGCAGCCAGTAGCATCCTCTAAAAGCTTCCAGGAAAGGCCAGGTCTTTACCACACGACCAAAGGTAAGCAGTGATGTGGCTAAGTGGCCTTCGCTGGGGGGGGGGGGGGGCTTTTTCATAATGGTGCCAGAACTTCAAAAGGCCCTAGCTCGCATGTTAAGATGATACACCCCAACACTGGGCATATTAGGCAAACAGAGCAGGCCTTCTTCTATTGATCTCAGGTTGCATATATGGAAGGTGGCAGTCTTTCAAGTCACCATGCCCTGGGCCATTTAGGTTTTCTTAAGTAAATGACAAGAAATGCAAACTAGTCAGGACAGGGGTTAAAGCCTCTCTCATCAGTCACTTTTGCCAGTCTTAAAAACTTGGATGTACTACAACACAATGTGAGCGTGTTAATTCGCAGGCTCAACCTAGTGCTCACTCACTCTATTAATGCTGCCCAATCCTTTTAACAGTGGAAAACTCACCTGTACTGATGAACATGACATCATACAAAGTGCCATTCAGTGCTTGGACCTGGTCTACCACGATCTGAGTGTACTTCACATCACGCTTTACCAGCCTGGGTCTGTCTCCAATGGGGGTCACAGAGTCATCCATTAGAGGATGGTCTTTCACAAACTGTAGTGTTTTGTCGGGTAAGTTGAGTGTAGTCCTGAAATTTTCTGCTTTAGCCTCCTTGTTTATACACTGCCCCAAGGAAGAGGAAAAAAATAAAAATAAAAGCAAATGTCAGCTCATTAAGGCAAGCTGAAAAAGGAATAGTGTCAGCTTTAAAAATAAGCTTATTCAAATAAATGATGCATCTGAAACTACTATCACAGCTAATAGTTTGTTTCACTGTTGTCAATGCAAAATGTCTTGTAGAAATTGTTCAGTGTTTGTTTTTACAGTCTTCCTCTCTAGAGGATACTATTGTTCATCCCAAACATTATGTAGCCGTATCAGGCAGTGTCTGTGTTTGGCAAAGACGAACAAATCAGGAGTTGTTATGAGCTCTTTAGACATTTAACTTCTATACCACTCAATAGCTGAAGCTCTCTGGGTGCTTTACAACACTTAATACAGTTGGCCTAAAATATGTGGCCACTGCTCCATACAGCCTTCTAATTGTCTGAAAAAGAGAATCCTGGGATCTTAAATTGATTGAGAATCTCAAAGAAGAAGTTACTTCATGCATTAGTTCTAACAGGTTGCCTTTTCTGGCCTAGATTGCATTTTTGTTTGTCTGTTTGAGTGTGCAAACACACAGAAAATCCTGATTCTTTGAGGTGCATGGAGGAGTCTGTTCTTTCTTTTCCATGTTAGCGAACACTTACTGCTTCCTCATCGAAACTATTCTTCACCTTGGGTAAGGTACTAAATTTGATATATAAAACCAATAAGGAAACTATAAAACAATATTATCCTAAATTAGCCAAGCTTTATCATCTCCTAACTCAAAACAGAACCAAAAATAAAATAAGTAACTTTCTGCTGGTAAGGTAAGAAATGTATTTTAATTAGAACAAATTAAATACCCAGTTTAATACAAAATGCTTGAGAGTTGAACACTCACAATTCAGTGAAAAAACTCATCTTGTTAAGTTGGAACCCTGTAAGCTACCCAGAGAGTGTTGGCTGCTGAGTGGTATAGAAATGAAGTCAGTGAGAGAGCTGTGGTAAAAAAATGTTAGTATCGTTAATACCCTTTGACAATAGAGTTAGACACACAATGAAAGGTGCTGCCTCTGCTGTCCAAATGCAAGTGATGGGAAGCCCTACAGAGATTAGACAAAATGGCGCCAGAGATCATAGAACAGCTTTCTCCAATGCTCTCCTGAAGCATCTCCTTTACTAGTGGAACCAGAGACCAGGTCTTCCTAGCAGCATATGTTAGGAACAACGAAACACTCTTGTGCTGAATCTGACCAATGGTCCATCTACTCCAATTTCCTGACACTGACTAACAGCAGCTCTCCAGAGCTTCAGGCAATTGTTTTTCTAGTCCTACTCAGAGAGACCAGAGATTGAACTTAGGGCTTTTGTTTGTCCTCCACGACTGAGCTGCAGCCATCAGCATCTCACCCCATGGCCTTGCAGGTCCATTTTGAAGCAGTCTGATACAATGCATCTGTTAAAGGATCTACAAATAGTCCAGGTGTAGGCTAATTTCTCCCCTGCCCATTATAGTCTCCTATTTTCATATTGTCTCTTGCCGTCACCACCACCTATTTCATTTCTAGACTGCCCCATAGCTGAAGCTCTGCTTAATATACCTTTTCAACGGGTATTCGGTTTACAATCGTGTGGAGAGCCAGGGTCGTGTGCTCTCATATTGCACCCTCTACTTCTATTCCCCTTCCCACCCCAGCCTAACAGGGGAAATCTGCAGAGGAAATGTAAACCACATCCAACAGAATTCAGTTAAAAAGCTCTGTGCAATCAAGATACCTGATAACAGAAAGTATCCTAATCACAGAGCTTTGTTATACTGTTCATTTGAACACATTTACAATGAGACTGCAGACTTTCTCCAACTGTCTGCTGCTCAAATGTCAGTAGTAACAGAATGTAGGAGCAGAGAAAATGAGCTCTCTTCTTTGAAATAGATAATATTTTGACAGGCAAAAGACGGCACAAGTAATGTTATAAAAATCTTTAGATTTTATTCAGATGTTACCAATCACATTCATCATATTATTATGAACTCTGCAAATGTGAAGTCAATCATAAATGTAAACAGTTACCTGCATGGACTGGGTCAATCCCAAAACCATGGCAGCAGCCATCCCGACAAACGAATGACTTTTCTTCCATGGTTAGGGTTCAAAACACGTGTCGGCTAAATCTGGTGGCAATCTGGAGTCCCAGCACAATGCATATTTCATTGTGCCAAAACTAAAGGGGACAAGGTTTCAGACAGTCTGTGGCATGGGGGAATCATATTAAGTATTGCATTGGACAGAGTTCACTCTGACGGTGTTAGCCCCTGCTATCATTTCTGCCTATTAGTTGGGGATTAGCACCAGAAAGTTCTGATTCAGGGCATTTGACAGCTGAGAAAAAGGAGCGCCTTACAGCTGTCTTTTAGGAATAGCCATCAACATCCAGACTTACCGCTCCAGGCCGAGGTTTAGGAATCTCTCCATTGTATCGCAACCATTTTGTGTGGGACTGCTCAACTGTGGTGCTTTGCATGTATTTCCCTTTGCCAAAAACATCCTCTACTGTAGAAATGTTGTAGGCGCACACTGCTGACAGCCCCACATTATTCCTTAAAAAGATAATGAAGCAATCAAAATTAACAGGTTACGATGCTACAGTTCTATAGCAAAAAATAGTTCTTTGAAATGTAAATGTACTTCTTACAATTGTGGGGTGAAAACTCCATAAATCACTGGCTCCTTTGAGGTCGGAGACTTCAGGATAAAGACATCATTGACGATGTTGAAAAATAAATTTTTATCTGGTACGGAGCAAATCAACCTGGCCTTGAGATAGGAAGTCCATTTTTTTTGTAAAGTCCTGTGTCCACCTTGGTCCCCCTTTAAAAGAAAAAGAAAAGAAGATCCTAGAATAAGTTTCCACTCCAAGTTAACATACAGGTTTGCATTAGTGACACATTAAACTGAAAAATCATAACTTAAAGAATGATGTGCAGGGAGAAATGCTCCCGACCAAGATGTAGGTCAAAGCATCAGTTGTTATTTTCAGCACATAAACTTTACAACCACAATCCAAAATCTAACTAAAAGTTAATTGGATAAACGTGAAATAAAGCACCCAGAACCAACTGGATCTCTACAGAGTCACTGCACCAAAATAATAATTAAAAAAAACCAAAGTAATGGATTAGAGAAAGCACAGACAAAATGGAAGGCAGTTCCTAATCTCTATAGGAATAGATTCATGAGCATCTCTCTCCTAAATGTGTCAGTGAATGTAAAGTAAATGTGTCTAGACCACTGAAGGACTTGAGCTGAAGCGTGTGGCTGCAGATACCAAGAATGGCCACACAGGCCCCAGAGTATGGAAGTTCATCTTGCAGGAAGTTCATCTTGACCAAGAGGCCAGTTCCTACTGCCACTCTCCTTTTATTTTTAAAAATTCAACACATGGATAATGTGTTGAATAATGTCTTCAGAGAAATATGTACGACTATATTATCTAGGCAGCCTCTGCTTCAGCATCATTATACATCAAAATATTTTGCAAGCACAATCTGGCCCTGCTGAGGTGTTCAAGGTAGGCAAAACATGTGAACAGAGCATGGGAGCATGCAAGAAGGCCCCACCAGGTCTATGCCAGTGTGTACTAGCTTCACCCACCTTAGTTCAAGCCTTGACAAATTAAGCAAGGTTTGAACAGGAGCTTGCTTGAATGTAGTCAGATCTCTCCGCAAGGACAGGGACTCCTGAGCTGTAGGGACATTTAAAAACTTTTGTCCCCGCTTTCCTGGGATGGGCCACAGGCCCTCCAGGCTCCTACCCATGTCACATTTGTAGCCTGGGGCTCCTGCAGCACAGCTCCTTCCTTCACACTCTGTGAAAAATGGCCTCAGAAGCTCCAGTTTATGCTGGAGAAGACAGAACCCATAATTCTACCTCTCCCTGAAAACAAGCCAGCACTAGTTTGGGTTAACAGCAGCAGCATGGGCCTCTTTCAATTATTTTAGAGCAGGTAGTGCTGAACTTCAGAGGCAGCCAAGCTGGAAACATAACAGGAGAACCGCAGCCATGCAAATGATGGATTCTAAATCTAAGTCTCTTGAGAGGAAACACATTCAGCACCACACAAATTAATTGTGCAGCTACTACCAGAATTTCCCTGTTCTCTAAAACTTTTGCTGTGTCTGCACACTGCGTAATGTAGTAGTCTGAAAATGTACTAAGGTATTTGGAATGAGGCAGCTTCAACATAACACAAAGCATTCTGTTTTCCTAAATAACAGCAGCAACAAAATACACGTATTGTCTCCCTCCTAACCTATATATAGCTCCATGCAAATCATGAAGAATGGGAATCCAGACACACATCTTCACAAACTGTCAGCATTCATAGGACCAGGACTACCATGCCAAAGCAGAGCTGGTTCAAACCACTGTGGTATCACAGACCTTGCAGACTGCACAAATTTCTGTTTAATTATACTCTGCAATTTAAAATTTGATCTTGAGCTTTCCCTGTCCTCACCTTTATCTGCAGGAAAGGCTACAAAATGTTATGACAATATGTTCATAAAATCTTTATGGCAAATCAACTCTGTTTCCCAGTAAAGGAAATTACGGTTACCTTTACAGGGCTCAAAGAGCACCAGAGCAATAGTTGCAATAGTTTTCTTTCAGGCTATGGCAGCTCAGCACAGAAGTGCCATCTGTCACATCACAGTCAGGCAAGAAATTTTGTTGGTGTGTGAAAAACGTTGGCTTTGTCTGGTACCCTTTAGAAATGTGTCAAGCATACCCTGGGAAGCCACCGTGTCCCGCTTCTCTTGAAATTACTACGGCTAGAATTCAACTGACAGCTTATGAGTCATTATATGAAGTGGGAGAGCCTAAGGGAGTGCCTAGCCTTTTCTTCTTCTCTCTAAAGCTGATTTTTCTAGTCATTTACAAAGTAACCCCATGGCTTGCAGACAGCATCTGGTGAGCCATAGTGAGGTGGAGATCTCCTCTGAGGTTGAAGACACAGCTACAATCATAGAGGAGATGTGACTGTGGATCTTTTTCCACTCAGAGTTGCCACGGCATCTCTGCAGCAGCTTCATTTACGAGGTCACAAATGCAAACTTGGAGGAAACATCAGGGAGGGAGAAATGGGGGTAGGGCGGAGTACAGGAGGAGAGGCCTGGAATGACATGATCCAAGAGCCTTTCTTGCTGTCTCCCTGGTAGGCAAGCTAGATGGGAAGAAGGATCCATCTAGGGAGAGAGAAAGAGGCAGAGAGACATCAGGCTTAAGTAAAATTTAGACAATCCTGTGAAGAGACCTCTCTGCCTATTACAAGTGTCAGTCTCTTGCTTGTGAGCAACTGTTTCTTTATTGGCAGAACTAATCAATCTGAAATCCTGAACACAGTTTTAATTCTTTGTAACTATTAAGGCATGCCTACATAGAAGCTTCCAATAGCACTGGTTTGGGGCTGTAGCACCTCAACTGGGGACACAACAGGTATCATTAGAAAAGGAAAACCCCTTCTCATGGGGTACCCCTTGATACACAGAGAATCACAGATCAACTATACAGTCTGCTCTCCATCAGTTTTGTGCACAGGTGGGAAAAAGGCTGCATGCCTGCCCTGCTCTGGCCAGACTGGAAAACAAAACCATGCCAAAACAAACCCTTTCTACAATTTCTTCTTCACCACCCACTTTCAAAGAAAAGAAAAATAGTTCAACTCTGTTCTCACCTTACAAACTCTAGCTATCCTTGGAATCATCAGCTTTCCGAGAAATTCATATTCCACTGACACTTCAGTGAAAAAGAAATACACTTTGTCATCATCCTCATCGGCGCTGTCTGGATCAGCTCTTATCACATCAGCAAAAATGAAATTTGGTTCTATAGAAGGAAAATGCAAACAAAATGAATGTTTACTTTTAATCTCCCCTGTACCACCACCCTTCCATATCTCCTTCCAATGACTCATTACGGACACTGTTTCCTAATATGGCAGTTGTTTAAGCAATAACAGAAGATACTCTTACTCTGTACATTAGCAAATCTTATCGTTCCCATATTTCGCAAAGCTGTCAGGAAAAGTTTTTTGGTACAGCTAACTATCTTCATGGACTGAACTCAAGGACACCAAGAACACAGAACTGATGATTCTTGCATTTTCAATGAAAGCTGACAGGAAGTTTACAGTACCAAAAACATCACTGCTCTGGTGGAATAATATTTGAAGGAATCCTGTGAGTAGTTACAAATGGGCAATGACTTGCAGGAAGAGGGTGCTCAAAGATAAGTTGAGCAAATACATGCTGCGTTGCCATGTCATTCCACTTCTGTTCAGAGAGTAGTTCAGAAATCTCATGATCATTTACAAATGTGATGCTAAAGATAAAACAACACAGTGCCTGTAAGATATCTTAATGGATTTAATGAATGAAATCAATACTGTATAAATTCTTGGTATCTCAGAGTGTTTTTCCTCAAACACAGATAGCAGATTGGAAAGAATAATAAATTTCCCTAGGGAGGTGGGGGAGAGAGAAAGAGGCATTAAAAGATACGAAAAAAAAAAAAAAAAAAAAACACCAGACAAGGGATATTATTTCAGTAGAAAAATCACTCAAGTGTGCTTTTAAAAGCATTCCAAAAACATTTGTTTCTCTGGGGTTTCCCCCCTCCAAACTTCTTACCATTAAGCCAAGGAATAGCATATTCTGTCCGTAATGGATTTTGCAGTGAATTCCTAGAAATAATCGGTTCACTTCCCAGGAAGTTGTAAGATGTTCCAGAGTAAAGATCCCCATCTTTGCAACAACAGAATATTGAATGAATTCAATATAGTAATGAGGACTATAAAACAGTAATTTTTCAAATGTGATAGCATCATATACTGCTTGCATTATGTCTTCCATGCCCTCCCAAAATTCCTCCCTCCTACTCAACACCTGTTGGATAAGTTGCTCAACCCCTACTCCACTATATTTCTTGTTTCCTTCTGCCAAACTCCTATCATCCATCCCTGTGCTAAACCAAGCACTGCAGATAGTTAAGTGCTCTGGGAAATTGGTTAAGTCTATCACTTGTCCCATACAATATCTAATGCTCTAGTAGCAGCATTTAACTTGAAAACATTTCCTTTTCTTGCGTTCTTTATCATAAATACTTAATGTTAACACAAATGCTGTTAACTATAAAACAAACACTAAAGAAACTTGACATTTGATTCCTGTGAAAAGAGTAAGCAGTGCATGACACAAGATGAAATCCAGCTGTACCATTTGCTAACAGAATGGTATTGCCAGTGGAATAAATTTGCCTTCCCTTCTGCAACCCCACTATTTTGGGGAGCTGGGAGACTCCCCAAGCAGATTTTAGGGGTTTGGCAGGGAGTGTAAAGTGGAGAAGCAGAAAGGTCTGTTGTGCAATGTTGGATACATCTCATAATAGCTAAAAGGTCACGCTGGCTAAACAACATGCACTGGAAACTGTTTGCAAAGCTTTCGTGACCAGTCTGGAAGATACTTTTTACAAGTAGATGTTTTCAACATTAGGGCAGTCTCCAAACTTGTGTGGGCAGCTCCTAAAAAGCAGTTCAACAAGGATTTGGGTATTAATTAATTGTACACCCCCTTGAATTATTCATTTTATGTTTATATTGCCCGACCACTGAAACTCTATGGGCACGTCACAACAATTAATTGTGACAGGCTGCAGAAATATTGACACAAGAAATTTGTACTTACCAACCATAACTGATGTATAACTTTGTGCAGGATCAAATGGGCATCTTCCTTTACCATCATCATTTTTGCCCACTAGTTTAAATGATGGCAGATTCTAAAGAGAAATTAAAGCAGAGTCTTGTTTTCTATCTGACTATAACAAACTACAATCCAGCATAGAATTTGTGAGTGCACAGGGTTCATTCCACCTGACTCCTGGAATGAAAACTGCTGGTTGGGATAATTTATTCCCCTCAGCCCAAAAGAAATCTGCTCCAAAGCAGACCTGGAAGGTGTTGGGGGAGCTGAAGCACAAGAGAAGAGCAAAGGTATCTTACTTTTCCCTCCTTAATACATTTTTGTGTGAAGAAAAAATATGAAAGAAGTGGGAAAATCGCAGCAAGTCACACATGGAGAGATGCAATGTCTGAAATCCTCAACTGCACAGTAAAAACTGCATCTGGAAACACTCTTAGATTGAGTTTCAGTAGAAGGAGATCCATAAAAGATCAACTTGTGCAACCATTTGCAACACATTTTTAACATGGTAAAGTCAACCTGTTGAAATAAGTTGACATTTGGAAACACATTGAAAAATTACTACTTTTTGGCACCTCTTCCAAAACCAGCTTGAGCAACAAATGGGGTGACCTGCAACCTTACAGTTTGAGGAAGCAATTCACTCAGGTAGTTTACCACACAATGATTTCAACAGACAGGAAATGAGCAGCAAATGACTCTGAGAATCAGCCTTTGTTGTCCTACCCTAATATATATGCAATAAAGAAAGCTGCGAATTATAATGCCTGTGATCCTGGCAAAGTTTACCTTATAAATTACCTTATAGTTTAAGGTAATTTCAAAGATAGGAAATAAAGGAAGTGAGTAATATTTTACTTAAGTAAACGTAATATAGAATTGCTTAAGTTTGACACGAATGGACATAGTATATTCAAATGAGATCAGTGCAGTTTACTAACCTATGACATTGCTACACTAATAAGCAGCTTCACACAAGCAGAAAACAAAAATTTTCAGAGAAACTTAAAACATGAATTAGAATTTCAATCTGTGCCTGTAAAACAAAATGCTTGCCTTAAACATGCGCACACACCCACAACACCCACACCCCCCCCACATACACCCAAAGAGAGATGCTAGAAAAATAGTTTATTATCACACAGATACATACAAATCTAGTGCTGCTATTCCCCTGTTGTGCCTATGTGCACATGAGGAAGAGGCAAGAGGCATGACTCCAGCGATACACATGCAGATATTAAGCCACTCAAAAGCAGAGATGGGATTTGGGGAAGAACGTAATTAGGAAAGAAAGAGGACTTCTGTGTGAGAGCTTGAGGAGAGAATCCATATTTAGAAGCAGAATGAAGGGAAAAGAAAGGCTAAGGTAGGAACAAGACAAGACATATTAAGTGGTCAAAGTGAAAAATGATGACAGTAAAGGAAATTCAGAGGGAATAATACAGACACCAGTTAAAGGATGGAAGTGTGAAGTATAATTTAATGAGTCAGAAGATATAAAGGCAGAAATAAAATTGCTTGTGTCATGGGGACTGCAGCCATGTTTGGACAAGCATATCTCAGCTACACGTAAGCCTTTGCCTGAGCATGCAGCTCCTTTGCAAACTGTTTCATCCTAACTGGAAAATGGGCTACCAGCTTTGAGTCAAGTAAAAATATTAAACTGTTGCTGCCCAACTCATTCGAAAGCTGGTAAACACAGTTTCACAGTTCAAGTAAAATGTGGAACTATGATTGTAGATCTCCTTGTTTAATAATGGCTCACACAGAGGAGTGAAGGGGCTGTGTTTACAGGCAAACTGAAATGTGCATATCTCACCTTAATATGCAGAAATATGAAAATCCAAACTTGGATAGTGGGTTAAGTGGATAGAATTATGATGCATTTTGAAAGCCAGGAAACCCCGCAGGAAAATGGAAATGAGAACCACCCAATGAACTGTTGGCACCTAACAGCAGCATGCCTCTCTTGCCAACGAGGGCCGGTATACTGTCTTGAATATTACAGAAACTTTCTCATGGTAGAAAGCCATTAAAAGGATGAAAATGCAGTCATCTAACTGGGAAGTTATTAATACATCAGTAAGGTAGAAAGCTATGGCAAGGACAGGGCAAAGAAAAGGAAAATTTTGGCAACGTCGTTGAAATGATAACAGACTTACAGGTAAGAGAGACAAGAAAGGTCACAGTCTAACATCAAGAGTCCTGTTCTTGGGAACAAGGAAAGATCCAAGTAAAGGAGAGCGATGAGAGAGTCAGAGACATGGAGGGCAGACAGAATTGGTGGATTTTTTAAGCACAAGGAGGACTTCATTCTGAAGTATTCAGTAGTATGAAGCTATGAAATAGCCAGGAGCTGACAGAAACAAGACAGGCAGAGAAGGGAGTCAGAGAGCTTAGGAAGAGACACAAAAGGGTTGTCAGGCACACAGGATGTGTCCACTATTTATAAGTTTTATGAATGTGATTGTTAGGAGAACAGCACCCACAAAAATGGGACGGAAACAAAGCCTTCACAAGACACCATTTACTGGGAAATAATGACTTAAATTTCAAAATTTCCTCATGGGACAGAAATATACATAGCTCTTGGTCATGCTCATGTTCAGTATAACCAGATGATTTCTACTGCTTTTCCAATTTCCCCTAAAATAAAATGCATTCCCACACTTACCAAATGATCACAGACTGGCTGAAATGCATTAGTTCCACACACGTAAAGCAATGTGTCATTCAGCTGTTGTAAGACACGAACATAGTTAAGGCACTCTGTCTGTAAAACAGAAGTAGGAGAAAAATAAAGCTTTTAATAAACCCAAATCATTTTTCTTTGCTCTACTGAAATCAGTTGGGCTTATTTTCACATAATAAGTTGAGAATTAATCATCTGACTACCAGTGAATGTAATAATGAATTTTAAGACTGGGCCACTACCTATGAAAATATGTTTCCAAGTTCCCTATTTATAAATGATGATGCAAAGTTGTTTCAGATAGTTACTATCATGGACTCCATAGTTAAAATATACAGTTCACCATGCATTTGAATTTGAATATATTTTGAATGAACTCAGAAAATGAGCCATATTAGAAAAGCAAGCTGTTGCTTCTTCTCTAGTTTTGCAATCCCCTAAGACACCCACCTCAAGATGAAGCATGGCCTTGCATTAAAGATTTGACATTTTGATGAAAGGGCCCTAAGAGAAACAGACCCTACTTACTTACTTACAGTTTTTATATGCCGTCCCCGTTGCTACACAGCCTCAGGACGGCTCACAACACAAGAAAGTTAGGGGTTAAGAAAGTTACCACTGTAATAAGAGATTCCATATTTGTGCTGTGAATAAAAGCCTGAGTTATCAGTCAATTGGCAGTATCTAGCAGGACCACTCTGCCCCCAATGGTTCTATTGTACTTGTGAGAGTAACCATTTGCACAAAAGGGCTTTCACACTTCTAAAAATAACTCTGAAAATGAGTGTAGTAAACACTGACCTTCCCCATTCCAACATCCATTGTTTCCACTCATTTGGGATTATTGTGGAAGGACCAATGTCCTATTATGCAAAAGGTGACTCCCACAAAAGCAAGGCCACAACAGAATGCCACCCACAGAATGTTATAATTCCAGAAGAGGGGAAAATCTCATTGCTTGCTTGCTCCAAGCCCTAAAGCAATACAAGCAAAATGAAATGCTAATAAAGCTCATCCTTCAATGACATGCTGCTCCTCTGTCAATTATCTATCAAATATTGTGCAGCAAAAAGCCAAGCCTGCTTACAGAGCAGGGGTTGGAGACAACAGGCAGAGAAGGTAACTTGCTTTGGAGGCTCCAGTTCCTTTTTATACTGGCACCGCTGTATTTAAAGAATAATATGCCAGTTCACTGATATTTTCTAGAAACACTACTGTGAGGTAAATAAATAATGAACTACATATATCACACAGTCAAAGGTATCAATTTAACAAAATTATTTACAGTAACTAAAGCAGGACAAGAGCAAAAATAATTCTAATAAAGCTTTATCTAACAAATTATTTACTTCTTCAATTACTTTCAATCTAGAATTACTTTCTAAAAAGTCAAATTAATAAGAGACAAATGGCAAAAACAACTCACCTGTCTGGATTTGCCCTTTTCTGTACATCTAGTTTTCTTCTCTTCTGTGACCTTCCAGAACACCTGGAAGAAAACATAATTGGAACTACCAATCAAGAGGCTTTCCCAGTGCTGCCACTCAACAATTAATACTTTATTAAGACATGGTTTCAAGACCATCCTAAGGCAAATGCAAGCAAATAGGCAAGGTATCACAAACCTCAAAACATCTGTCCACTTGGGAGAGAGCCTTTTCTAAAGAAACCTACTGTATCAGAATAGCAGCACCTGTAAATCCTTATGTTCTCCTATATTCCTACAACCACACATATTCAGATGTACTCCTAAACAAAGCTACTAGAAAATAGGATTCAATAGACCTTATTTTTGAGTAAGCATGTTTAGGACTGCATGGTTGGTTATGGACACTCTGAAGTGTGACATTAAATACACAAAACTGCATACATACCTCATGTTTTTTTTCTGTAATGTTTAATGCATTTAGTGCAAAGATCACTTCTCTAGCTCCAACATACAACACATCTTTGTCTTCATTTAGTAACAAAGTTGAATAATTAAATGTTTCTGGTTCTTGAAAATGCACTAGATGAACATCTGTTAAAATACAGTAATTGAAAAGCTTTAAGTCAAACTAGAATGGTATTTGTGATATAACATGATATAAGCTAATGTGAACACATCCACTGTATTTTAAGAAAGCAGGAGACCTTCAGGTTCCAGAGAGTGTTAGAACTACAGGACTGACAGTCACCAGCAGAGATTATATTCATCTAAGAGGACAAAAGTTTTCCAATTACAAGCAAGAAGTTTGTGCTGGATACAGAAGAAGGAACAAAGACTGTATAGGGATGTAAGTACATGATTGTCAAAACTTTATCAGATGATTGTTTTGGTTTAGGACACTTAATTAATTAATTACATTTCTATGCCGCCCCCATCGCAACAAAGCCTCGGGGCGGCTCACATTGCATTTGAAACAGCAATGGAAATGCTGACAATGAATGCTAGGACTGCAACACTAATTGCTTTAACTGTGTACATAGAAACTATTTTTTTCTCCCTTTCCATTGTTATCCTAGAGTGAACTCAGGGAACTTCATCTGGATAGGGACCAAGTGTAAAGCCTACATGGCATTTAAGATACGGATTGCAGACCCTGTATCTACTGCAGAAAAGAAAAGGAAAAAATACCTGCTAAGGACAGATTTAAGCTAATGTCTGTTTTGGGCCTTAGAAGGGAACTTTGGATATGCAGGACTGGAGTGAGAGAGAAGTTGTAGGGACAGGGAACTGTGTGTCATGGGCATGTAAGTGGTGCTGACTGTCATGGGATTTGATGTGCTAACCCACAGACTGTGAGACTGTGGGTGCAAAAAGAGAACAAGAAAGGTTGTGAATGGGTTGAAGGGCATCAACAGAGAAAGAAAATGAGGAAGACCCTCCCTCCCTAAAAGAATTGAAGGCATGATTAGACAAGTAATAAGACAACCAGATAAGAACAAAATTACAGAAGCATTCAGCTCTAGAATTGTTTGTGTTACTTTTAAAGTGAAACAACTTTACAACATCCCCTCTTAGGAAATCCAGTTATGCTGCTTGTCAGTGGCTTTAGTATGGAAAGGGAGATAAAATTGGGAAAGTATTTTAAAAACCAAGAAACTCAGGTATTTGCCCCTACCTGCTATACTGGGAGGTAACTCACACGTATATTACATATTTTCATCAACCTCAGCACACTTATAAGTTGTCTCTGACTGAGGCAATATTTATTATTTATTTATTTAAAACATTTCTATGCCACCACCATCACAACAAAGCCTCGGGGCGGCTCACAGCATAATTAAAGCATATACATAACAATTAATACAATTAGAGATTAAAAAGCCCGGTAGCATCTCGGCTTAAAAATGTTAAATCCTATAAATACCATAATAAGTTAACAATTAAAATAAGTTTTAAATAAAAAGCTCTTGACCTGGCGCCGAAAAACAAATAGCGACGGCGCCAGGTGGACCTCTCTGGGGAGCGCATTCCATAGGTGGGGCGCCACCACAGAGAAAGCCCGCCTCCGGGTACTCACCCTCCTAATATCATTCACGGAGGGTTCCCGGAGAAGGGCACCTGCTGCCGATCTCAAGGAGCAGGAGGGCATATATGGACGTGAAAATATGCTCCAAGCAGTGAGTTTAGGAACCATCAGTGACCATGCTATGAAACACACAGTTTTGCACCTTTCTTGTAATGAGGGCAGCATGCATGTCCAATACAGAGGAGCATGTTCACACACTAGTAAAATTCAGAATGCAAATGCACTGAATTAAGCCTCCAGTTACATCAGCTTATCTATGGAACTGCACATATTACAGTACAATAAATCATAGTTTCAGTAAACTGCAGTGACATACAAATACTACTTTCATCTATGGGTATGAAATATTTTGACAAAATTTATCAGCAAAAGACTCATCTGGAAGATGAAGCTGCACTCTCACCTTTGTGTTCCCAAGTGATCCGAGGCACTGGACCAAATGCTGTTGCCATTCCAAGAAATAAACTCACAGCTCCACATAGAGAGAGAGCCATGTCAAGTATCCTTGTTCTATGGAAGTAGCTGGATTTACTACTGCTGTGCAAGTTTGGCAGAAGCAATGCCTTTTCTGTTCAGCAACATGGATTTTGTAAAAATATAAACATCCTCAAATCAAATGGAAGTGTTTCAGATTCCTTGGAAGTGCTATTCCAAATGTCTGTTATGTGACAGATCACTTCCCCCAATAAATATATATTTGCCACAACAGGGAACAGAAATAACTTCCAGAATCAGTCTCAACAACTCTTCTGCTTCTTAAACACATGCTCCTGATAAGTTGGGTCAGGATAGGAAACTGCAGAAATAAAGTAAAAGAAAGGAAGTGGTCAAAAATTTTATAGACAATTTCCACCCATTAAGGTATACACGTAGGTCTTCAGTAAAACCCTCATATTTTATAAAAGGAAAGAGAAGCTCAATATCAAAAATAGTGACAGGAAACTATTAAAACCTTATTTTCCATGTGTTTTTATCATTTAGATCTGTCAGTATCAGTAAGCAAACCATTTGCAGGGTGAGCAGAGAAAAATGTAGACGTTTTTAAATTCAAGGTGTAGTTTACTATTTTAGTAAAATACCAAATAGAACTATATTTTATTAAACAGAGGTTTATGCTACAGGAAGGTTGAGGTATTTCTGTGTAGCTCAGAGACCGTTCTAAGAATTATATAAACTCCAGATGTTTAAGCTTATCTTGCCCTAATTAGAATAAACCTCTTTAAAACCTTCCCAGTTGGTGACCATCACTGCAACTTATGGTAGAAAATTCCATACTTTAACTAAATGCTACATGAAGAAGTACCTCCTTTTATATTGTCCTGAATTCCCTACCATTCTGCTTCATGAAATGACCCAAAGTTACAGGATTATGAAAGGAAAAAAGCTACTCTGTATTCACATCCTTCATACCATAAATACCTCTAAAAAGATATTTAAATAATTGTTTAAAAAGCCCTAAACACCATAACCCTGTTTTTAAAGGGAAGTCGCTGCTGCTGGATAATTTTCTGCATCTTTTCCAGCAGAACAATGTCTTTTCTGAGGTGTTGCGACCAAACTGTAATTTTACACATGCAGCTGTACCACAGATTTCTTATTAGGGCATTAAGATATTGGCAATTTTGTTTCTGATTCCTTTTCCCAACATGGAATTTGCTTTTGTCACAGTATCTACAGACCGGGGCAACATTTTCATTGAGATATACACCAAATCCCCAACAACCCCTCCTCAGACAATATAAATATTAGAACCATCCTGGGTCAGAATAAAGTCCATATTCTGTTCAGCTAAAGGCCAATCATCTGCCCATGGAAAACTCACAAGCAAGACCTCCCCACCCTGCTGCAACTGCTGTACTTAGGCATTCTGCCTCAAATGCTGAACAATATAGCCATCAGGACTAACAGCCATTGATAGGCTTATCCTTTAAGGACTTCAAATACTGCCCATTCTGAGACCATCTACTGAAAAATGAAATTAGGGTTTTGTTTGCGGTGGCAGTGGCCTTGCCTCATCACACGATCCACATATGCTACAAAGGATCATTTTTGCGGAGAATTCCTTGCAATGGTGAAGAGAAGAGAAGAGAAGAGAAGAGAAGAGGACTCGCAGTTACCTAATATTAAGCTATTTTATTATTTGGCCAATTTGATTTGGATCAGACTGGATTTTTAATTTTAATAAAGGATTTGTGAAATTGGAAATAGTTGATCCTCAAGATGGAATTATTTATGGGCTAAAGAATCTATTGAAGAAAAAAAAAAAGCTTTGACACCAAATAACAGCCACACACTTAGAGATGATTTAATAAAAATTTGGTATTCCATGAGAAGGAGAATTGGTCCTCCAATTTATCCTTTGATCTCTCCAATGGAAGCATACTATGGAATATATTTAAGGAAAAATAATGATCCTATAATATATGAAGACCTGACAAAGAATTTAATGAAAAATGGAAAGTGTCTTATGAGCAATTTAACTAATTCTTAAGAAAACTGAATTTGTAAAATGCTATCAGAAACTTGTACTTCATGCTGTTAGGACATCATTTATAATTGTTTCGATACTTTTGTGGCTGGAACCTTAACTGGGATCTGATTGATTCAACTGTGGCTGGAGGGGATAGAAATTCTTGCTTTCTCATGAACAGATTAGATGTTGAAATTATATGCTATATTTCTTTAATAACTCTTGGTATTCCCTTTTCTCTATTTTTTCTTATTTGTATCTTATTTCATTTTTATGAAAATAAATTTTAAAAAATGAAATTTATTAACTCATTCTTTCTCTAAAAAGGGGTTGTACATAGCTTCCCACACAATAGGAGGCTCTGTCCATGTTATCTCACAACATGGTTTTCTCTACGTCATCCTCACAACAGGTCTATAACCCAGATTATGCTGAAGGTAAACACAAGGTTATGGGTCCAGGTCATGAAGGGAGCAAGAATTTGAACATTATTTTTCTGCCCATCGAATCACTTTTCTTTCAATTCTGTGTGTCTTTCAACTCTTCCCAAAAATAAAGGCTACTCCCAAGATTATTTATTAAATAAACGTACCACATTTTGTTCCAAGGGACTGCATAACAAAACAAAGTATACAAAGTGTTGTACATTTAGTCGAATGTTCCATGCAGCCATCATTTTTTATTCCACACAAAACAAATATTTTAATCATTTCTACAGAGCACACTTATTCTGCAATCCTATGAATATTTACTCAATCCTAATAAAAACTCCAGCCTTAGAACCAAGCTACATATTACATTAACTGCATAATAGGCAGCTGAGACATATCTTTAACAAAACAAACCAACCAACCTCTAGTACAAGCACATATGCTCCTGATTAGGATCAAAATCACTATGCTCCTGGAGTGGAGGATTAACCTTCCTCCCCACATACTGCTACACCTTCCCTCCCTCCCTATGCTTACAATAGCAATTTTTTTAAAAGTCTCAGCTATATATTATGCAATTAGTATAAGAAGTTGTCTGGCTCTTAATGAGTCAGCTAGATTTATTTAAGTTATCTAGACAAAATGTGTACCTTCCTTCCACCTATTTCAGTTCATTCTTCATTTTCTGCCCCCCAAAAGGTGAGCCAGTAGAAGCCTGTAACCATGGCAACTGCTAAGCACTGAGGCATCCTGACATCAAGATGGATACTTACTAATACCTTTCGGTAGACTTGTAATCTAAAGGATATTAACAGTTCCAGCCTGGAGACATTCTCAATGCTGTGTTGTGCTGTGCTGGGCAGACAAGACTAGACCAATATTTGTACCATTTTGAGTTTTGCCCCTCAGCTGGGGAATGGAGAGTAGAAGCCAAGTGGATGTGAAACAGGATCATAAAAAAATGACATTTAGCTTCCATTAAATGAAGAGATGCAATGTAGTGAACAGGTTATCACTCAAGTTCACAGCTTTTAAAAGATGAAACTTTTAATTCCCTTTTATCTCTTCACTTCTGCTTTTGTTTCTTTATTACATCGAGGTAGTACTGTGTTCTATTCTGCTTTCCTACTTTCACAAGGTACATAAAACACATCCATCCTCCTTTCTGAATCTGCTCCAAATCCCTGGCTGTTCCTTAAATCTAGTACTTAACACACCTAAACTGCTACTTCTTTCCTTCAAACCCTATTTCACAAGTAAAGCATGTCTTGCTTTTGACTAACTTCATTTTAGTAACTCATAAAACAAAACCAATTACCATCCACTTCTTGTTTTCGTTCATGAACACCTTTTCCTTCCTTCAGTCACACGTCCCTTTTGTTATCTCAGGGCAGCAGTGCCATCCATATCTAGAAGTGATGCTTCCTCCCAATTTTACTCTAATATAAGCACAAAGGCCCAATGATGATTGGATCCACAGAAGTCTTGAAGCCTCCTTCTTTTATCCTACAGCTCTGACCCAGATCTGTATCTACTTCAGAGGGTCTGTGGTTTAAAGTAATGTCTGTTTTGCATCTGAAGTACAAAGCAACAGACAGGACCATAAGTTTGCACAAGGGAGATGCAAGCATACCATCAGAGAAGCAAAATAAATGAATGAATAAAAACCACATAGTTTGAGGAGCATATCACTAATGATATCAAAGCTAACAATAAAGAATTCTTTAAATATGTCAAAAGAAAGGAAGTTGGTAAGAAAGCAGTTGGGCCATTGGATGATTATGGAATTAAGTGGGGATGAGGAGATTGCAGAGAAGCTAAATGAATTCTTTTATCAATCTTCACAGCAGAAGATGAAGAGTAGATAACTGTCCCTGAGTTTATGCATTCTGGAAAGGAGTCTGAGTAATCAGGGCAGACAATAGTGACAAAAGATGAAATTCTCAACCTTACTGAAAGTAGCAAGGCACCTGGCCCAGATGGTGTCCATCCTAGATTTGTCAAAGAACCCAAGCATGACATTTCTAACCTTCTTATCAAAATATTTAACATGTTCCTAAAATTAGCATTTATACCAAAGGACTGGAAAATGGCCAATGCAACATCATATTTAAAAAGGGAATCCAAGGGGAATCTGGAATAACAGGTCAGTCAGCTTGTAAACTGCTTGCCAGCATCATTAAAGATAGAATCAGTATGTACACAAAAGGACAAGCCCTGCTGGAGATAAAAAAGCATGGCTTCCACAAAGGGAAGTCTTGTCTCACTAACCTACTGGAGTTCCTTGAGAGTGTCATCAAGTATGTAGACATTTGTTTACTTGGGCTTCCTAAAGGTTTTTTTTTTAAATCAAAGTCCATCACCAAAGGCTCCTGAGCAAACCAGCATTCACGGGATTAAAAAAAGGGGGATCCTCTTATGGATCATTAATTGGTTAAAAAACAGAAGACAGATGATGGAATAAATGGCAATTTCTCCCAACAGAAAGATGCAATTACTGGAGTCACACAGGTTTCTGTATTAGGACCAATGCTTTTCAACCTATTCATAAATGACTTGGTGGTGTAGTGAAGTGGTCAGAGAAAGGCAACAAAAGGGGGCTGGAGCAGATCCCTTATGAGAAACAGCTACAAAGACTGGGATTATTCAGCTTAGAAAAAGGGTAAGGAAATACATGATAAAGGTGTTTAACATAATGGTGTGGAGAAAGTGGAGGGGGAGACATTTTTCTCCCCTTCCCATAACCTGGACCCCAGAGCTAGAACCCTGAGTCATTCCATGAAGCTGATTGCTGGAAGGTTTGGGACATATAAAAGGATTTTTTGGCACTATGTATAGTTAAACTATGGAATTCAGCACCACAGAAAGTGCTGCTGGCCACCAATCTGGATGGCT